CTTATAATTTAAATTCTTAGTGTATAATTTCTAGCTGGAATAACGAATATAAATATGAAATAATAATAGAATGCATTTTTTAGTATTTTCTAAGAATTCTGTATATATTATGTTGTTTACATCACACATACACACACACACACACACACACACGTTAAAATAGTCACCATTCCCCCATTTGATACATTTGGAAATTGAGACTCAGATCAAAGAACTTCCCTCAAATTAGACAGCCAATTAGAGGAAAATCTGAAATTCAGTGCCAGTTCTTTTTGACCACAAAGGCCATGCATTTCATCCTTCTGCTGTATCCTACTTGAGAAGCTACACCACATTTTCTACTTATACACACATTTAAACATTGGACACATTTTATTACTGCTGGAATGAATTACCACAAACTTAGTGACTTAAAACAACATCTTTTTATTGTCTCACATTTTTTGTGGCTCAGCTGGGCATAGCAAGGCTCAGCTGCTTTCTCTGTTTAAGTCTCACAACGCCAAAAATCAATGTGGGAGCCAGGGCTGCAGCTCTCATCTGAGTCTTGGAGTCTTCTTCAGGCTTACTGAAGGCTGGCAGAATTCATTCTCTTCTCATAATTTCCATGGGATCCCCATGGACTTCAGGTCAGCAGCAACTGGTTGTGTCCTTTCCTTGCTTGAATCTCTCTAACCTTTTTTTCTGCCACTGGCATAAGAATGTTCTCTGGTTTTAAAGGTTCATGTGATTAAGTTCACCCCGATAATCTCTCTGCTGATGTGTAAACATTCTGGGGATTAGTTCTTGAACATCTTTGGAAGACCATCTTAGAAATCTCCCTACTAGAAATAATTTCTAATTTAACAGGACTTACATCCCTATATGTTACTAAAACGTAGTGATGGTGTGCCTGTTAGGGTAATAAAGTCTCTATCAAAGAGAGAGACTCCTAAAAGTCTTTAATATTTTCTTGGTTCTCATGTAAAATGTTCTTTGCTTTAAAACAGATCTTTCTATTTATAAAAACATATATAGCAATATATGTATATTAATTATTTATATATGCTATGTAATATTTATGTCATATGTGTCATGAAATTATTATATGTTATATAAATGTATCTATAATACAATATTTTACCAAACTGTGATCGTATCATATACGTAGTTTGCATCCTTCTTTACACTTAATATATTGTGTTTTTTACTGATTATTAAATATTCCCCAATGTGTAATTTTTAATGACTGAACAGTAATACATAATATGGTTGTATTTAACCAGCCCCCTTTGGTTAATATTTATATCATGTTGCACATATTTTACAAAAATTTTATTGTCCTTCTGTGCTTATTTTCTTGAAATGAGTATTCAGGATCAGGGATACTAAATCAAATGCTTAAGGTTTTTTGTCTTTGCTCTATAAAATGAATTATAAAAGTTTATATTGTAACGGCCAATGCAAGAAAGTATCTCATTTTCCACATGCTTGCCAAAACTTGTCTGCTTAGTGGACAAAATAATAAATCTCGTTGTTGTTTTAATTGGAAATCCTAGAAATCTAATACATTTGAATATTTTTATGTTTGCAGAGCATTTATGTAGATTCCCTTCCATGCCATTTCCCCAAATTTTTCAGCTATAACATTTAATATTTTCTTTGTAATTTTTATCTTTACATATTAAAGATATTACTCTACCTGATGTGATGGTTCAAAATATTTTTCTCAGTTTGCAACGTGTCTTTTAATTTCTTTGAGAGTTGTGTGTATATAAATAAGATATAATTTTCAGTCTTATATAGTCCTGTGTATCAATGTTTTCTTTCATTGTTTCTCCTTTTACTTATAAGCTCACAAAACCTTTTCACACTAAATAGTCAAACCATACATGCACAAAATATAAATAAACAAAGAACTTTTGGGGTCCATGTATGATTTTCTTACATGCTTTCCCACTGCCAGGTGAGTAGACATGGCACCTGGGGTCCTGCCAACACCTCAGGCTCAGACATGCAAAACACAACTGATCCTCATTCTTGTCCAAGGGCTCCTTTCTCGTATTTTTCTATCTCTTTTCATGACTTTGCTATTTTCCTTCCACCCAGACTCAAAATTCTCTGTCTTGCCTGAATTTTCCTACTCTATTGTCATCCACATCTAATGCCTTGTCACATTATCTTCTACCTCGTTCAGTAGTTTAATGGCCATTTCTTCCTCCCTTTCTCCATAACCCTAGCTTGAGCCTTCATTGCTTTCTACCTCTGCAGGTATAGGCAGATGGGGGATGAAGGGAGAGAAAGAGAGACATTCAACTGAGATAAATTCATACCATATGCTTTTTTGTTTTTTGCAAATTTTTATTTTCCATTCAATAAGACATTATGCTCATCTCTACAAGTCATAAAATATACATCCACCTTTTTTCTTAAAATGGCCTTTTTCTTCTAGATCCCCCTTCAGGGCTTCCATCCACAGTTCCCTGATTCCTTTTCAATTTACTTGCCCCATATAACCAGACACATACACACACACACACACACACACACACACACGGACACACACACAGGGACATGTACATTTATAGAGGTACTTTTTATCACTGCACAAAAAGGAGATTATATATAATCTCTTTTATATATTTTTATATTA